TCTGGAGACAATCTCATCCTAAAAGGCTTCTTTAAGCTAGCCAGGCCAATATGTCATTTAGAATAATGAAATTGTCACATGTTTGCAAGAGGGCTTTGACTGTCCTTTCCTTTCACACATGGTGGAAAATGAAAAAAAGTGCTGGAGAAGATAAAATGCTCTCCAGCACCCTTGTATGGCTGTTTGGAAGCAGGAGGACCAAAGTTTCTCCTGCAGTTGTGTACAGTTCTTAGAAGGATTGTGGAAATTCAGTGGCTACTGCCACTCGTACTTCTCTTGCTCTATCAAGTAAAATGTGTCTTATCCAGTCACTAATGCACAACAATCCACCTCCTAATAGAAAATGCCCCTGGAATTCTTGCCATTTTTCCCAAGATCAGAGCAAATGCACAACTTTTCCATAAATCTGAGGTGGGGGTGCAACATCAGACATCGGAGGAACAGCCACTATAAGCTCTGCCAGACACAAAGAGCTTCTGATTATTGATCAGGGGGCAGTTCATTAGTGTTTAGGTCTTATCATTAGTTACTGCACAAAACAGGTGAACAGAGAGACAAATTACTCACTGAGCTGTAAAAAACCCAATGGGAAAAAAACACATGGCAAGGCAGAGTGAATTACTGGAGCCTTTTACAGCAGAGGTGGCAACACTCAGGATCCCACACCCGAGTATGAACCTCAAAGATGTGTTCTCATGTTGATACATAAAAGCACATGCACCTTTCTGGGCATTTATTTTTACATGGCAATTCTGAATATTGGCTGTAAAAGGAATAATATAGACTTGACTCATTCAGCAAGCACAGCAGATCTTGTGCACTGATTGCATCAGGAGTTTTTCGTGCAAAAACAGTGTGTAATTGTGCAATTAAAATCTCTAGCAATGCAGAAACAAAAGTGGATGGTGTAGTCTGCCTCCAATCCAGCTTCAGCTAACACTAAAACTCTTACCTGCAAGATAAAAACACTTTGTGGGGTTATGAACTACAACAGAAGGCTGAAAATCTATGACTGAAATACTCACTAATCATGTACTAATATGGTTTCGTGAATGATGACATCACAGACATAGGACAGAAACCTTAAAGGATGGATCCTCTGCCACCTCTCTGGTATTCCTGTTTGCTTTATTTGTACTTTTATGTTACCATTTTTTTCTCTTACTGAAAAATAAATGAAACCCCTCTGGAAAACGGCTTCGTCTTTGGGAAGGCCTAGCAGCCAAAATAACATTATATGGAATTAATATACATAATTATATTGGCTATTCTATCTGCTTGACTTTTCTCACAGCAGTTCAGAACAAACAAGGGTGTTTAAAAGTACTTCCCAACCAGCTGCTTTTCCATTTTACAATAAGTGCTCCTGAGGAACTAAAGTCTTCTGTTTCACATTCACAGCAGCTACAGCTAATTTCTACACGAGATTTGTTCTAGGTCTGTGAATATGAGCTGGGTTTTGCTGGGATGAAACAAGAGTGCATCTTCCTGCTACAAAAAAATATAAAAATCAGGGTGTCCTGACTGAAAAAGACCCAACAGGGCTACACTAAAAGGGAATGCATTAGGAAGAGCATTCCCAGCAGGTCAGGGAGAGGATCCTCCAGGAAGGTTGGACCAGATGACCCACTGTGGTCCCTTCCAACCTTCTAAGTTATTATACTTCTTTTCCTTATCATCTGTACTGATAATCTGTGGTCCAAGATACCAGTGCAGCAAATACTAATTCCTAAGTAGCTGCTTTAGTGCATTGCAAACTTGCATTTCAAAATGACTGCTCAATGACAAGACATGCATAATTAACATTTAAGACTGTTAAATTTTTGTGAGTGAGTAGAGGCTCGATCTGGCACTTGAAATCTTGCCTTTGAAGCCCAGGAGAGTCAGAGAACTGGTGTCTGAGACAAAACAGTGTCCCATTTCTTCTGTGCAATTAAAAACAACCACTGAGTTTTAGATAATAACAGAGGACAAAATACCCAAGTGCTATTAAAATATTTAACCACACACAAATGGTACGTATTTAAAAGACCTTAGAGACTGACATGTTATGCAAACCAGTAGAGCTCTCATGGTTTAATTTGCAACTAAAACATGAACATTTTAGTACATTAGTACAATCTAATGTGTATATAGGTTATAGATATATGTGTGTGTATGTGTTTGTGTTATAGGTTATATATAAAAATGCAGATGGCTACAGGTAAAAGACAGTAAGTTAGTGCTGGTTGGCCCTCACTCAGACCCTACTCCAGTGTTCTCAAAGTCCTTTGCAACTACTGATTAACCTGTTTTATGCATCTCAAGCTTCTAATTATTTATAAAAAGGATGAAGTAACACTGATTAATTATAAAAAGGATGAAGGTCAGCACTGTAACCAGAAATGGAAAGGCAGGATTTGGGGCCCCACTCTTTTAGGTTCCAGATAGCTCACCTTCTAAATGTCATGTGTGGACAGCACACCTAAACTGTAATCTGGAGTTCTTCAATTAAACAAAACCACTCAAAAAGGTAGATGTGTATTTTTTCAAAGGCAGGAAAATTACTGTAGGATACTAGACAGGCAACTGCTTGAAATTTAGCTTTGAGTTCTGAGATCTTAAAGAACTCTAAATTTTGAAGTCTTCACTACGCCCATAAGCACTTTCTAAGGGACTGGCTTTATGATGGGAGGGCAAAAAAAGAATCACCACAGAAAGTTCAGCACATTTCTGTGGTTTTGTAGAGCTTACATTACCAGGGTATAGAAAGAAACTGATTTCCCAGAGAGGCTGTGACAAAGCTCTCTTTTTAGGGTGAATGAAGCCCAGGGACAGAAAGAGCTGCTGAAGAACAGTAGTGATCAGCAGGCACAGACGTGTACTACAGCCTGAAATCTAGCAGACAGCTAGTTTAACCCACACAAAAGAGCTGCTTCTCTTCCCAAGTTTTCTGCCTGGTGGGTTGTCTGATGGGACTTTGCTACTTCTGCATCTGCTGCTCTGATGGATTAATGACAAGCCACTTATTACTGCTATTATTGTCAGTGTTGATGTTTCCACTGGACATGTCACCAGCTGGCATGGCAACTTCATTCAGCACTGCCTTACAGCAAGCAAAAAAATCTCCCAGTTTGGCTGGAAGACTTTCATCAAGACTTTTTCTCCCATATGGAGTAAGCAAATATCTTCAAAAGACCTTGCAACACTCATCTTCCAGGACCATAAGGGGGTGGGAGATGAGTTAGCAACGCTGTGAAACATGTAGTGTGGAAGTTGAGATATAACCTGAAGTTGCATAAAAGATGGAAAGGAAAGCAATCTTTTTTTTTTTTTCCATTGAAGAACAGGTCATGGCAGATAGCTCAGACAACTTGTGCAGCGTGACAGAATTTGTGCACAAAGGGAACGTGGCAGATCTGATTTTGCAGAAACATTATTTATGGGTTAGTGGGTGGACAAAAGTTTCCTCAACAGATTTTTGCAGATCTAATCATACACAGAAAGTTCAAATGGCTCCCTTTAGCCTCTACTTAGTGCTGCTTTATAGATAGTGTTTTGCTTTAATTTAATTTCTCTAGACTTTTAATAAGACTTTTGGTACTTTAGTGCCTGGAAAATTATTCCTGACACTGGAAATATGGTGCCTTGGTTATGAACGCTGCAATGAAGATATGAAGTTGCCAGACATATTGTAAACAGAGCATAATTACACTATTTAGAGTTGAACATCAAAATGGGAAGAGATGCCAAGTGGCATTTCTCAGAAGTTAATATTGGGACTGATACCATCTAATATCTTCCCAAATAATTTGGAAAATGAAGTAAAGTGCACGCTGACTGCAGACACGGGAGATGCAAGAGGAAGATGAACTACAGCACAGCAGGTGGGGAGGTTGAAAAGAAGAACCAGGAGGATCTGGAGATCTGAGAGGGAGAGAGAGAAGGGTGCACTTAAGAGGGAAACTATTTCATGTAGAATAATAAGCTTAGAGAAAATTAACACCCATCTTGAGCAACCAAATGGGAAAACGCCAATTTTCATTAAAAAAAAAAATATATCCAAGAGATTTCACAGTTTATTCACACTGAAACTTCACATTGGGGTACATGCATCAGGTTTGACAACTTGTTTGCTACATTTCAGCCTGATGTGATTTTAAAAGGAAGAATAACAGATTCCCTTCAAAACCTGCCTTTTAAAATGCAGTTTGACTTATTTTAAACGTATACCAAATGCTCAAAAAAGACCTAATTTACAGTCCTGTTAGCAGAAATAACACAGAGTAATGTATCATCAGGAAGAGACACAGAAGCAGCACATACAAGGTCCAAGGTGGAAGTCAGGAAGCCAAAATCCAAGTGTCTGATACTGTCAAGGAGTTCTAAGTGTCCACTGTGCAGCAGAGCAAAACCCATGAAATACACTGATTTTTTGACTTTAGAAACTCAGCTGTACCTTGGAGAAAGCTATTACTCTATAAAGGAAAGATTCTGAGGGATTTTTTTTTAAAAAAGGCCTTCACAAATGCTGAAATAAGTTAAATGACTACTGTATACACTAATGAACCTTAAATATTGTCTGTAAATCAACCATAAATATTACCTGTAAATTATCTATCACCTGCAAATTATCTATTCAACATTATCTGTAGGATGGAAATTGCCAAAAGGATGTACCCTTGCAATAAAAATTAATCTGTAATTAGATAAACTCACCAAGGATAGAAAACATACTTGCTGACACAAAAGCCCCCTACATGGACTATGCTCCTGGCTGAGAGTTTGAAGAGCACACTTGTCTTTTCCCCATCATTATTTGGTTAACCATACCCCCAGTAAAGTACATTATTTTGTCACAGGAATGATTCATTAGGAGAAAATTACACAAACTTTTTACCAAACTGAGCGTTACTTTTCTTCCTAACACAGCAATCCAAACATAGCTGATGCACACAAAATGGCCTGATGTGACAGCAATCAACAACAGTATTTTTAGGTAGGCTTAAAAACCTGCTTACCAAGGGGAGCCATATATTCTGAATCCCCTCACCGTCACTTCAGAGTCTTGAAGATAGATGCAGTTTGTTAGGAGAGACTGTACATTTTCATAGCTCTCTGGCTTCAGCTTAGAAACAGAGGGGAAATAGTAAAAGTCCTGCTTGATTAAGTCAGCCATGAATTCCTGGTCAAAGGTCAATTCATGATTTCCTGCTATCACAATCTTGTATTCATAGGGCAGGCTACCTAAAACAGCGAAAAACAAACAAGTTACTTGTTTTATGGAACACCTGATGGAAGAAAACAGACAGACAAACTGTTATTGATTCCTGTAATATTCTCACATACTTGAAACAATAGAGCACGTCCCTCCTCCACGTTATTGTAATTCCTGGTGATTCCAGGTAACTGACATTACTGCCTCTTCCATGGCACACTGTGATTTAGCACGCTTAGCATTAATGTGTTGAAATTACTTTCAACTCATCAACCTTAAAAACCAGTCTGCAGACTTCTGCTCTACTATTTACTTCTAGTTAATTGCCATTTGTGCTGCAAGTATCATTTACTGTGACAGTGATGATAACTCTTTGACAGAAATTAGGGTTCAAAGAAGATCAGCTTCGGAAAATCACGTCAGCTCCCTTCTCCCAGAGCTCAGGTCTTTGTCAGCTCGTGCTGAAGAGCTCTAACACCCTCACAGCTCGGGTCAGCCAGAGGGGGCTGCTGCCCTCTTTGCCCCGACATTAATATCAAGCCTTCAAGGAAGGCAGGGATTTGGTTCAGCTGTCAAAAACCCACATCCCACAGAGAAATCTCACAGTCTGCCTCTATCCCGTGTTTTTCCCCTGCTCCATTTTCTCAGTGACTTCCTCGGATCCGCGGACTATAATTTAAAGTGACTCATGTTCGAGAATATTTTACAACCCGTATTTAGTGAAAAACCTCAGCACAACCTCCTGAGGAAGGCAGGGATACATATGCCCACACACGTGGGTTCTTCCTGAGAGCAGCACCGAAACAGAAACTTTCCACCCGACTCTGCCTTTGGTTATTCCCTGGATTCTGCCCCTGGGAGTTGGCATCAGCTGCCTCAAAAAGCTCAACAGAAACCTTTAAGTACATCTGAGAGGAAACAAAGACAGAAACTATGTAAAGCTGCATTCACCAGCTTTGTTTGTGCACTGTGAACTTGAGGACAGTCAGAAGAGGAGACTGGGACCAGAAAAGAAGTATTTTATGGAAAATCAAACCCACCTTGCACAGCAGCAATCTCGTGGGGTTTTTTTAATTCTAAAAGTGTCTTGCTGATAACATAGAAATCTTTAGCAGTGGCAAAAGTTGATATGATAGGACTTCAGAATAAAATGCAACAGTGTGATTCAGAGTCAGGGAAACAGAAGACACAGTGTTGAACTCTGCCAGATGAAAAGATGAGGGTAATTCTTAAGTACAAGTTTCAGACACTTGTAACACCTGTATTAGGAAAACTGAGTGTACAGATTCCAGTCTTTCCTGTGGACCCAAGACATATGTGTCTTCAGAATACTTAACAGAAACTCTTTTCATGTATTTATTTAAATGTTGAAGATTCAATCATTTACCTGAAAGACTTTTCCTTTTTGCTTCTCAAACAGCCTTCTGCAGATGTGTCCTCCACCCCCACAAGTTTCCCAGGTGTGTGCACACATACACACACAAGTGAAAAATGCTGTTTACATGCTGCCATATGCATGGGCATCTACAGGCCTAAAAGAATTCTTGGGAAACAGGAAAAGAAAGAAACCCACAGTATTGCTAACAATTCCATTTCTGTTCTGTTTTGTAAGTCTTTTCCAGCTCATCTGATCCATCCATCTAGCAGCCAAGAACCTGTGTGAGCTGGTTATAGTTGTTGCTTCCACTAATGTATTTATGTCATGTTCCTGTCTGTGGGTGTTACTTAGGCAAATTAGCAAATTACTCTAAATGTACAGTTACATTTATTACAGTGGAGGCCAGAAGTGCTGCTGTAGTTACAGGTCTGTCAGCTTTTCAATTAACAACTGTGTTTTTTGATGAGTTTGCAGCTCAGTTAGCTGGTTTTTTTTTTCTTTCATTCCACGCCAGGCCGTGGTAAAACTAATTCCCTCTCTTTGTCTCCTCAACTCTTCCTCTTCACCCTTTAAATATTATTTAAATAAAAAAATTATTAAAAAAAAAGATATTTTGTTCAAACCTTTTTCCTTAGAAGACTTTAGAACATGCTTTGCTTTTCACTCCGAGTGCTGTTGAAGCACAAAGTCAGCCTTAGTATAAATCTTTGAAACCTTGTTCTTGGCTAGGCACTGCTCTCATGAACTGTTATGTGTAAAAGCAGCTGCAGATGAAGACCCTCAGTTATCATATTTCCCACCTTCCCTGCTTCCTGTGTGATCCACACTCACCAATGTTCACTCCAGAGTGCTGAACATCTCTTTGCAGTAAAGCAGTCCCCAGGGGGACCAACACCACAATCTAATCTGGTAGGTCAGCACAGTCCTGAGAAATGAATGTTCCAAGTGCCTTTCACAGGAGTAAGATCCACCAAACATCAGCACTATCTGATCAGCACCTACCTTAAAACTACCTTAAAGCAGCAACTCCTTCCTGCTTCTGACCTGCAGCTTCTTACTTTTCCTTTTCATGCTTTATTAATTTCTCTGTATTTTCTCATTCCATTATGTCCTTCCAACACAAATCCCTACCTTTCCATCCCCAGGCACAGACTACTGCACAATTTTTAGCCTTGGCTTGGTCCTTGGTTACAACCAAGACATGCCCAAGAGCACATGGCCTAATAGCTGCTGTATGGCAGCGTTTGTACACGAGTTCATAATTTAGAACAACCACTTCTCCATTTTTTTAACGCCAATCCTGATCTCAGATTATTCAAACACTTCCAGGTTGATCAGTTTATTCCCCCACCTGTGCTTAGGATGGAGTAGCTTCATCCAAGAAGACTCTGCAGTGTGTTTTTGTGGTTTTTGACCCCCTCTGGAGTGTGGGAGTCTTTCAGTGAAAAAAAAACTGCTGCAAACCGAGGCAAGTCCAGCGGAAAAGTGTCGGGATGGCTGGGGAATGTGGGATATGGGGAGAGACTGAGGTCTGAGTCTGCTCAGCCTGGAGAAGGTGGAGGGCAGACCCTGCTCTGTCTGCAACTGCCCGGGCTCAGGAGAAAGAGAAGGCCAAGCTCTTCTCAGAGGTGCAAAAATGGTGACAAACACAAGTGGGAACATGGTACAAGGAAAGAATGAGGATGGTGAAAGAGCAGAAGAAGTGCCCAGAGCAGCTGGGAGGTGTCCACCCTTGAAGACACTCAAAATTGAACTGGACAAGGTTCTGAGCAGCCTCCTCTCTTAACTAGCCCTGCTTTGAAGAGGAGGCTGGACTCAATTCCCCTCCATCCTGAGTGGTTCTAGATTATTTTTAATCTACACTGGAAAACAAACAAGAATTTTAAAGAGCCTGCAATGGTAAAAGAAATGAAAAACTCATTTTGTGTTGTGATTCTAATGGAACAAATCTGTGGCACTTTCCCAGGACTGGAGAGCACATTCCATTAAGTTTGGTGCAGGTTCCTCACACTCATTTAGCAGATGAGTAGGACTAAACACCCAACTGATAGCCAATTAACATTTGATGCCAGCATATGGCTTTGCTGGTGGGCAGGTAGCAAAACTTGCTAATACAGAAGCTCTGTGTAGACAATGACATTACAGAAAATTTATGGCTGTCACAGGAATTCTGCACACATATCCAGGACAAAACTAATTTCCCAGAAAAATTAAGGCAGCGAGCACGTAAGGAACAGATCTGCCCTTCAGGAGTGCCAAGAAACACTTCCAAGAACATATGCTATGGGAGTCAAAGATATGATTTCAAACAAAAAAAAAAAAAAAAAAAAAGGAAAAATTATTAATTTGGGGGGATGTTGCATTTTTTTTCCTGATCTCTTCTTTTGACCAGCCAAAACAAGATTAAGTGTTTTTACCCAAAGACCAGGGATCCTCCTGTTCTTGGCGCCTGAGAAGATTCTGCTAAAATATGCCTGTAGTCTGGACACAAACTACAACTAGAATTGGTTGGAAAAGTTTTACCTATACATTTTTCCGTATTAAAATTATTAAAATACCACTTGGATGGAATGGGATATATTTGGAAATTCATGTAGTGATTCTGACATTACCAAGGAAACAAAATGAAGCAAAATGTCAGTTTAAAATATTTTTGGGTGAATAAAAATTTCATTGCTAAGCAAAATTTCACTTTTTATTCTAGAGTAAGGGTTTGGTTGTTTGTTGGTTTTTTTTTTCCTCTCATAATGTTTAACTAGAAAGAAACTAAACTTATTTTCCTCCATAATCAACCTCTAGCCACTTCGTCCTATTTGGAATTTGGAATCAAAAGAAATGTTTATAAATTGAAATTCTGTCAGGAACACACTGGCTCAAATTCAGTGCTGGGTTTCAGAGGCTCCTTTTTCAGGCCACATCCAACTTTTACCTTCTGCCAATTTGGGCTGGGGCTCCAAGATACCATCATTCTTTCAGCCTCTATCTCAGCATGGGATCAGGGATTTTCCCCCTCCTTTTCCTTCTCTGCTACATGGTCCTTTATCTTTCCTGCCTCATTTTCCCCTCTCCTTCCCATTTTGTAATCTCCCTTTTCATGCAATAAAACACTGGACACACATCTTCCCCTTAATTTAGCAGTTTTAGCAAAAGATACCTTTTTCTTATGGGAAAAAAACCAACAACTTGTAGAAGTACAATGCTTTAGAAGACAATTCATCACACAAAAAATTCCTCCCTGAATTTCCTGCATCGATAGAATTCCTTATTATTTGAGGTTATTTTACTATCAAAAAGCCTGGGATATCATATTTAGCTCATAATTACCTTATATATAGCCAGATGGTATTATCATCTTACAAGCTTAACTACAAGCCCTCCTCAGAAAGTTTCTTAGCCTTCATTTGCTCAGTCTAAGAATCTGATAGGAGTTCTGGTAATATAACATGTATAAGAATATATATCTATATATATATTGTTTAGCTAGTAACATCTTTGTTTATTCCCTTCATTACCGTAGATTGCTAATTAAGAAAATCAACTGAACATCTAATTTTTGCGTGTTTATGCACCAATTACAAAATGATTGCGGCCATTTTTAACTCCTAAACTACAGTAGGTCCCTTTTATGGCGAACATAATTTTTTTTTCCAA